CTCTCAGCCCAACCTACTTCATAGGAATGTTGTTCAGGAAAGTAGGTAGCGCTACATACATCACCCTGAGCTCCTAAATGCAAGATGTGACAGGTGTCTAATAAATATGTGTAAGAAAGACAACAAGCGAGCGAGCGAGGGAGCAACAGGACCTTTCTAAAGGAAGAAAACAAATGTGTTCACTGCAGATGAAGAGAAAGAAGAGGATCAGAAATGGTCATGATAGTTTGAGGGGTGCATCTTTCCTGGTGCTTGTAGTTTATCCACGGAGAATTTGCTTCCATGTTAAGACTCAGGCTCTGTAAAGGAAATTACATTTTTCAAAATTAGATAGAAAAGATCTAAGTTCAGAAAGGAGGAAGGGCTTGGCTGGACAGGATCATTCTTCAGCTCCATTCCAGAACTGGTGTTTTGCGCTGCCTTGGACGGCGTCTGAATGATCAAAATGGGTCCATCCAATGGCACCCTCCTGGAAGGCCATATCTAAACAGCCTCTTCATTCATGTCCCAATGTGTGTCAAACTCAGCACACGCGGGTCCCAACAGGGTGCTCAGTCTCTGGGAACTCATCTACCCATGTTGACCTACAGAGATAGGATTCTACACCAAGACATGAGCTCCTATAACATGCTAAAGCTGCTCATTTGAGTTCACCCTTTTGCTTGCTTCAGGCAAGACATGGAACCACACACGGAGACTTGTTCATCATGCTAAAGCCTATCCAAAGTCAACTCTGGCCAAACTTAGCATGACTTACACATGCTAGGCCTCTCCCTGACCTTTGTAAAGGAGTTGAGTCAACACTGCTTAGATGGGCCAGGCCACACGATGGCCTTGACAGATGGAAGGGTATATCTAGCAAGCCCAATTTGCTTGGCTACCCACCTACAATCCAGGGTCTTCCCAGTGGGTCAATTTCCATAACTCCCCAGCCAGCATGGCCTTGGCTGTTGCAGGCTGACGTGCCTCTTGAGTTCCCAGACCCAAGTCACCAGCATTGCTCCTCACTGGGAGCTTCTCAAGCCTCCAACTCCATCATTACAACCCTGTGTAAGCCCCATCACTGGGCTTATGGCAAAGGAAGCAGCTAGACTTGGGGACCCTGTGATCAAAGACAAAGAGGAGCTGAAGGGTTAGCGCCGGAAGAGATGTTTATGCGCTGGCCACATGTGTTTGGGAAGAGCAGCCGTTTCCAAGGGCCTTCTTATGAAAGAGAAGAACAAGAACAAACAAGCCCACGGAAATGGTTTGGATTTATCTCCATGCAGGAGGCGATGCAGGAATGTGTAACCAGCAGCCCAAAGGCATATTTTGTCCTTGATCGGAAGGAAAGGATTCCCCTCATCTAGATCTCTACCTGGGCTTGGCGACAAGGAAGCCAGCTGTTCCCCAGTCCTCTCCGGTCCCCTCCCTAGGGACATCCCAGTCCCAAAGACCAGGCACTGGCCTTTCTCAGACAGACTGGGCCCGGAATGAAGGTTGTGAAGGAATCAGGACACGGGGAGATAATGTTTCAAAGCTGGTTGAGGCCTGGAAAACTCGAGATGGAAGGAATCCTCCAGACTCCAGCAAAGAGACAAGATTATGAGCAGCCTTAATTGGGTAATTAGTGGAAAATTAAAAACAGGGCTGCATCTGGATACCACACAGAGCATACATGAGCTCTGCTGGAGTGTTTTTGTTTTTGAAGTCTGCAAATATGTGCATTCATGAGGGCTGATGTACCGAAGCTTTCATTTTCAATAGAGTCTCCAGTCCTCAGGATGGCAGAAACGGGATTAAACAGAAAACGGGAAGGGGCGATGTCTTCCCGATGGCTCGTAGAATAGCAGGAAGGCTTATGACTAAGAGATGGCCATTGGATAGTCATTCTCCAAATAACTGGACACTGTTATCCCAACCCAGGAATCTTTAGGCACTCCCGAATGACCTTCTACCATTCTGCACTAGTATCACTTCAGATTCGGCAGCTTGTCAATATCAGCAGAGAAACGGCACTCTGCAACTCCTGTATTCCGATTTTAGCTGCAGCCTGTCCAACTCTGAAAGGGAATTTGCCCCTTTTGGAAATAACAACGGATTCCTTACCATGAGCATCTCCTTAACATTCCATGACCTCGATGGGCAGTTCTGGTGCAAATCAATTAAAGTGCCCAAGCCTCAGCTTCATGTTGTCTATCAGAGACTTCACAGTGACTAGTTGGAGGTGTGTGTGTGTGTGTGTGTGTGTGTGTGTGGCTCGTAGATTCTCTTGCATTAGAACGGGATGTTTGCCTCTGGATTCCCTACCCACAGCACAATGGAAAAAATAATATACTGTCGACAACAGCTTTATGTAGTGGAAGCAGGAAGAACTCAAGTTATATCTGAACAGTGTTCCCCGAAGACAGATGAAGTTGAACAGCGAGAGATTCGAGATGGAAAAAAGGCAATTCTTCACACAGCTACCTAGTTAAATATGGGTGTTGACGGCTGCCAACCTGGGCAGCCTGAAAAGAAGATTAGATGAACGTCTGGAGGATTAGGTTATCAGTAGTTACTAATCCCAATAGTTGGATTTTGCCTCCAGCATCAGGCAACGTACCCTGTACTCCAGTTGCTGGAGAAAACAAGAGGGGAGACTTCAATATTCTCTCCATGTCCTGTTTCTGACCTACAGGGAAGTATCTCAGATCAGACATTGGTCCACCAGGTTGATTTTGTGAGGTCCTCCTTAGATTTTTAGTATAGATTCCTTCTTTCCCCTTTCTTGAAAGAGAGCTATCAGAGTTTAAGTCAAAAGATCCTCCAAATAATGCTTGTTGGGATAATGAATCTTTGGAAAAGTATACAACAATTCAAGATACCATCAGCAATTTTGAACTACAGTTCATGGGACCAGTTGAGGACATGGCAAAGATTTCTTAAGCAGAATTTTTTTGCACAGATTTGACCCATCTATATTCTTGGCCAATTTTCCATTAAATTTCTTTATAGAATTAATTTGAGAGGTTTAACTCCTTGTTGTCCTGCTGAAAAACAACACTAAAGAGCTCTTCTATGAACTCAGACATATCAAACTGGCCCATCTCTCTCAGGGTGGCCTCTCCAGGTGGTTAAATGTTAAAGGAGCTGCTCAGGCTGAACAATATGGCCAAGATCTTTAAGGTAGATGGCCCAAGGAGATGGAGCAAGGAGGGGCAGAACGCCAAAGATCATTGCACCATTGCAATGGAAGCCCATCCTTTTATATGTATGTCATACAGAGTATGAACTAGGAAGAGTTTTGGCATGATACTCCTTTCATCATCTGGACAAAAATTCCTGGTCTGATTTACAGGTAGTGCCCTGTAAATGACCACATAGGCACTGGAATATTTGTTAAGTGGGGCAGTTGTTAAGCGAGTTGTGCCTGATTTTACCACCTTTTTTACAGCAGTCATTAAGTGAATTACTGTAGCCGTTAAGTGAATAACACAATCATTAGCGAATCATGTGGTTCCCCATTGATTTTGCTTGCTGGAAGCCAGCTGGGAAGGTCACAAATGGCGATTGCGTGACCCCAGGACGCTGTAACCGTTAGAAATGTGAGCTGGTTGCAAGTGCCCAGATCGCAATCATGAGACTGTGGGGGTGCTGCGACAGTTGTAACTATGAGGACCAGTTGTAAGTCCCTTTGTTCAACACCGTTGTAACTTTGAATGGTCACTAAACAAATGGTCGTTAAATAAGGACTACCTGTATCACTCTGGCAAATCATGCACCCAAACTAGCTGTGGAGGAACTCCTCTTGTTAGATGAAGCAAGCCTCTTTTCTGCCAGGAAGAAAAGCCATCTGTGGGGCATCACATGGATGAGCCACACAATGATGGATAACAGCCCTTCCTCCATCTTAAGCCCACTGCCCTTCCTCCATATTAAGCTCTGGTAGCAGAAAGCAGATATACCCAAGCCAGAAAACACAGAAAGAGTGGTGTAGGTGCTTAAACATGCTATTCTTTTTCCAAATATGGAATGGACCAGCTTCAAGGAATGGCTTCCCCCGTCAGTGGGGCTGAGAAATGGAAAGGGCACTTGTACCTGCACAGAGAATGGAAGAAGGGCAGCAGGAACTTCTCATTTCTCCACTCTTTTCCCCTGGAATGCATGGAAATCCACGAAAGGAATCCCTACCATCATTTCTACTTTTTCTGAACGCAGAAACCGCCAAGGGGGAGGGTAGGATGAATTCCTCAAACTGGGAGTGTAAGTGGAAGAGAATCCAGCTACCTTGAACTCCTGTGAGGCATCTTTTCCATACCTCGATCACATCGGTAGCAACATGGAGCCCCTCTAAAGAAGAGTGTAAAACAATTCTGGGATCCAACAAAGTGATCTCATGCTTTCATAGTTTGGGTCAAAAGAATCACAAATCAGACCTTCTGGCTTCAATTTCTCCTGTCCTCCAGCTCAACTCCCTCCCTCTAATTTTGCTTGTTGTAATCCAGAGCAAATGAGCCCGTCCATCCATTCAAATCAGTCACACGAGGGGTATGCAAAACGTCTAGATCCAAATCGCTCAGACCTGAAAACATCCCATTTTGCTCTAGTAACTGCTGTCTTGCTTCCAAAACAAGCAGCTTAGATTTGAAATTGAGTGTTTCTAAGTCAAAAGGGTCCACGTTTAAGCCTTTTGCACACCCCTGGACACCACTCTCATGGCAAGGCTATAGAGCAGTGTTTCTCAACCTTGGCAACTTTAAGATGTCTGGACTTCAACTCCCAGAATTCTCCAGCCAGCTTTGC